TTGGAAGTGGCAGTGGACTTGGTGGCGACTTTTGGTGAGGATAAGATATAAGATATTTCAGTATGATGAAGAAAACTGTAGGTAAGACAAGAAGATAATAATATAGGTTCTCCATGGATAAACAGAGGAATTGCTAGTGATTCAGCCGAGACTTCAACCTCATATGGCTATAAACAAGATTCCACTGTCAAGGAATTTTGATCAATAGTTTGAATATGAAAAAATAGGAGTTGGTCCTAAAAATTTAGGTGAAAATTTTTGAAAGGCCCATTTTGTTTATAGTCAAAATGAAAAAGTCGGTACATAAAATTTTCCATTTAAAAAACCTCTTTTTCCCCTGCTATCTGAATTTTCTTCTTATTAGAAAAACAAGCTTCTTCCACTGTTTCACAGCCTTGTCTTCTTCCTCTACCCTACCTCTCACCGGGACCCATTTCAACTGTCCCTTTCCCACTTTCTAAAAAAAGGATGAGCTGCATCCTTGATGGCCTCCACCTGCCCTGCCCTGTCTAGGGCCTTGGTGAATGAGGTAAATCGCAGGTTATGCCTCCAAGGGTATAGGGTGGAAGGCTACTTGTACACTTGCATTTACGTAAGAGCCAAATCCATATTTCAGGATTCGAATCCTTGACGCGACAGCCTCAAGCATAGCTAGAGTTTTTCCACCTTCCCCTTTTACCACTTTCTATTAGCTTTTTTAGAGTAGTTAATGAAATTATCAATTTTGATTTCATTGAAATGCATTTCTTGTATGAACAACAAATGCCCAAAACAAGAAGGATATATATTTACAGATTTCCTAAAGAAAAAAAAAATAGAAATCACTCAATTCATGAGATAAAGTCTAGGGTTTAGGTCACCAATTCGAGTCCCTAGATCACGGAGGTAAATACCCGACCTTAAACTTCAGAGCTTGGTAGAATTAATCGAGGTGCGCGCAAGCTGACCCGGATATCCATGGTTATAAAAAAAAAGTCTCTAGGGTTTCTTAAACTTACCTAGTAAACATTGTAACGAAATGCTCCACTTGAGGTAGTGTTGGAATGGGGATATTTAATCATCACAAAATGGAAATTTATTTTCCTTTGACGATTCAACCCAAAAGTATGGTGGATCTTAGATCACCTTGAGATCATAGGACATTTTTGTTTAAATCCTAACACGTAAAGGGTAAAACGATAACCTTGAAGGAGCTTTCAATGGCCTAGCCAAATGCTTCATCCCTTAGATCTTCTCATTTGTGCTCCTTAGGTGCCCTCTCCTCACTTTGAGAGAATGAAAATGACTAAAACTCTAACCTTGGTAAATGTGCCCTTAAAGGGCATATTTATAGCACACCATTAGGGTTCATATTTGCACAAATATCCTTGAACTTTATTGTAGTAGACGAATTAAGGCACGCACTTTATTGGAGCCAAAAGAGGGACCTAGCCGGACTCACAAGACTTAAGCTCCAATAGAAATTTCTAATTGGGTCACCTTTTGACCAATTGAGATATATTTATTAATCACGACTTAATGTACCAAAAA